GTAGACTTCCCCCAGGTAGAGCTAAGCCCAGGTTGACCACTATCCTATCAGTGTCTTCTCTCAGGTGGATTGGGTCATACAGATGGACGCTCCTGATACCGCAGACACCTACATCCACCGTGTTGGGAGGACAGCACGCTTCGACAGGAACGGCAATGCTCTAATGTTCGCAACTGAGGTAGGAAACAGCAGCAGTGTCTTGGACGATGATGCTGACGTCCTTATGTAGGTCGAAGAAGCATCCCTTCTACCCGAGCTCGCCCAGAAGAAGGTGGATGTGCGTGTGACCTCCATCAACAGGAGAAGGATGTTCAATGTACTGTGTGGCACCTGAGCGCGATATTGTCGCCTAATACGGCCCTAGTCAGATCACTGGTAAATTACAGAGTCTCCTGGCGTCAGAGCCTGACGTGAAGCACCTTGCTGTTAAAGCCACTCAAGTAGGCATTCCTGCATACACTTTGTTTACACGTGGGTCAGGTGTATGCGAGGGCGGTAGCTCTGACTGGGAGGACTAGGCTTACAGAAGATGAGGTGGCAGCCTATGCTCACAGCCTGGGTGGGTATAGTGATGATAGTCGGTGTGTGAGGGGACTTTGCTAGGACTGCATGAAGCCCCTCCGATAACGTTGCCTACTCAAGAGGAAGTGACCAGTAGAAAGAAAAAGAAGAATATGTCTAAGCTGGAGGTAGTGATGAGGAGTGAGGTCCAGAGAAACACCCTTTTCCGTTTGTGGCAAGAATTTTGAAGTCCACTATTATTCGAGCTTTGGTGATTATCGATTCAAGAGTAGTGCTGTAAGCCTCTCGTTATGAACTGTCTTGTATTTTTGTTCAGCGGCTGAAGGAGAAGATTCGACAAAAGAAGTTGGCTAAGAAACAGAAGGAGATGAGTGGAGAGGTGGGGAAGGATGATGATGATGACGACGGGGGCTGGGGTCAGCTGGAGGAGGACCTACAAGACAAGAAAGGTACTGCACCCACTAGTCCAAATGGAATGAATAGTGATGCCTCTACCGCACCTGGTCTCTTGCTGATCGTAGGAGCTTGAGATTAGTAGATCATAGTAGTCGTATCACCATGAGATGACGATAAAGCTGTTCATGATCAGCCACGAAGCTGTCCAAATTCGAGCGCCGACAGAAGCGACAACAAGAGCTCTTCGCCACCCAAGGTCCGGAGGATGAGGGAGCTGCTGCAGAGGAGGATGATGATGACGATGTGTTGGTAGGCGGCAGTAGCATGGGCAGTGTGGGCCCTGTTGATATTACTGGCATTACGTATAGGTTACTGTGAACAAGGAGGGTGATGTCTCTGCTGTAGAGGAGGAACCTGCCACTCAAGCTGAGGCACGAGCTCGGGATGCTGTTAAGAGGGGTCGACTGCGTGTTAGGAAGGACGGTAGGAGGATGAGGGATGGTCTGTGATGTGAACAGCTATTACAGTGTGGACTGAATCGTTATGCGAACTACAGTCATTCAATTTTGGGGGTTCGAAAGTCGACTTTTAGTGACATCAACGTGATAACAATGCGATTCGACTATAGTGTGGGAATATATGCGCGCATGGGCAACTACATGACAATATGAGGAGCTCTGAGGAGTGGTGTAGGTACAATGTATGTGAGGGGTACGGGTGGCCTTGGTAAGAATCAGCACATGACCTTTGACGAGAGTGGTGACGAAGGGTCGGATAATGAGGAGGATGAAGATGCTGATGAGGAGAGTGCTGCTGCTGCTAAGCAGGCCTTCATAGAGTCGATGAAGCAGAAGGTGGAGGAGAGGGAGGAGGAGGATAAGAGG